CATACCTCAGGTTCATAGCAAAAGGAGGAGAGTTTAATTTGGTTCACATTTTCTAGGGATTTAGTCCATGGTCAGCTGAGTCCAAGGCAGAAACATCCTGGCAGAAGGGTGTGGTGGACCAAAGCTGCTTAGTTCATGGCAGTCAGGAAACAGAGAATGGGAATGGTGCCAAAGAGAAAAGGGAGAGCAACCAAATATACTACCCAAGGCCACATCTCCATGACCCAGGCACACCCAAAAGTGTGTTCCATCAATCTCCTGGGCCAAATAATTGACACAATCAAGCTCAGCTGTCACAGTACATGAAATGAAACATTATTCTGTTTGTAAAAGGAAGGAAATCCTGACACATAGCATAACAAAGATGAACTCTTGAGACATGATGATCAGCCAGCCACAGAAGAACCAGGTTCCATTTACATGAGTTATCTAACATATTTAAACTCAGAGAAGTTGAGAGCTGAACGGCACTTACCGAGGCCAGAGATGAAGCACATTGAAGAATTGCTATTCAATGGGTGTAAAGTTCCATTTCTAGAAGGTGAAAAAGTTCTAGCGATCTGCTGTATAACACTCTGCCTATAGTTAAGAATACTGAACTGTACGTTTAAACTGTTATGAGAGTAGATCTCATATTAAATGTTCTTACTATAATAATATAAAGACCAAAATAATTTTTAAAATGTAATCTCCTTCAATTATTCTCTGTGCTTTAGCTGGATTAAATTCTCAGAGTAGATCTACTCTTTATATCCTTCTGTCTAAAGCTCTGCAAGATGTTTCCCATTGCCCATGGCATAAAGGCTAAAATCCTGCACATTAGTCAAATATGGGACAATTTGAATATCTAAGTAAAAATGATAGAAATCCATTATGACTCATTACATAAAATAAGAATCCATAAATCTATGTGCTATAAACTCAGTGGTGAGGGAAGGAGAAACTTTTCCTTCTCTTAATTACTTATTAGCTTTATGTCCTTGTGACCAAATCCTGAACAAAAACCACTTAAAAGAAGAGAGATTTCATTTGGCTCAAAGATTTCAGTGTGTGCTTGGCTGGTTTGCAGGCAGAAGCACCATGGCAGCAGAGCATGGCAAAGACAAGCTTCGCACGTCATGGTAGTGGAAAACTGCTCCCTCATGACAGCCAGGGAGCAAAGCGAGTGGGAAACAACCAGAGAGGATGAGAGAGAGGAAGTGGTTGGGAACCAGAATGTACAGTTTCAGGTCACATTTCCAGTGACCTACTTCCACCACCCAGTGTGCCTCCTAGCAGCACATTCAGCTATGAACTTATCAGTGTTAATGAGCACTCCCTGATCTAACGACCCTCCAAAGCCCCACCTCTGAACACCTGAGCCTGTTGGGAAATGTTGATCCAAATCATACATATATTATACTGCCAAAATAATAGATATTGACAGAATGACAGAAAATCACCAGACGATGCTAAAATTGGACAGTGGAAGATTGATGAAGAATAAGATATTGTGTGCTGTCAAATGATTTCTAATTACAAAGGGTACAATAGTAACTTTAGAAGGCGGCAACCTGGAAGAGTCTAACTCGACTAAATGGTCAAAGTTAGTATCTTCAAGGTCCGAACAAACTGCAGCCTGGTGCGTGAGACTGAGAGGGATACAGCATCATGCTAGGTGGTTACGGTGGGGAGGTAGAGGGGATCCCATGAGCTCTGTTAGGAGACACCATCACAGCAGGCTGAACTTAGGGGTTTTCTGTAAACAACTAGCCAGTATCCTTCTTGGTCTTCTCATAACAAGGCCAAGGAAAGCAAAGGAAACCTGAGGAAATGTTCCAGATTAGAGACTAAAGTGTAATCCTGGATGGAGAGAACAACACCCACAGGATCTGGATCATCATCAGCATTTGAATGCGGACTGTGGATTCAATAACATCCATCAAACACAAATTTTACTTTTTTTAATCTTTTTATTGTGTGATGTAATAGAACAGCCTCACTTTTAGTAAATGAGCATTGTGGAATTTAAAGGAAGGAACGTGATAATCCAGTTACTCCCAACAATTCAGGAAGAAAAAGACATGTTGATTAGCTGGGTAAGTAGATTGTAGATAGATGATAGATAGATACATAGATGATAGATGTTTATGTTTTATATTATAGAACTTTATATACAATGTTTATATGGTATATATCATAAAACTATATGTACAATTGTGATATCTTTCTATATATCTATATCTATATATCTATATATATATATCCTCACATATGTGGCATTTGTATATACAGTTGATTCTCCATAATTACAGTTTCTGCATCTGTGGATTTAGTCAACCATGGATTGAAAGCACTACAAAAGGAATTGCATCTGTACTGAACATGTACAGGCCTTCTCCTTGTCATTATTCCCTGATCTGTATAGTATAACAACTATCTACTTAACATGCACATGGTCTTTGATATTATAAATAACCTAGAGATGATTTAAAGTATATAGGAGGATGCATATAGGTCATTTGCAAATACCATTTTATGTGGACTTGAACGTGCCTAGATTTTGGTATCCACACGGGTCTGGGAACCAACCTGCCACAGATCCTAAGATACACTTGTAAATGTATATATGTGCATACACTGCACAGATGATTAGATAGAAGGTAAATAGAACAAAATGTCAATGATTCATAAAAGAGATATTAGAATCAAAAGTAAAGAATTGAGTAAAGGGCATTCCTGTGCTTTCTTACAACTCCTCTTTAGTTTGACATAATATAAAAATGTAAATAGGAGCAGTGGCTCCTAGCTGTTGTCCCAGCTTCATTCAAGGACGATGAAGGAGAATCATGTGAGCCTTGGAGTTTGAGACCAGTTTGGGGAACATAAAAGACTGTCTCAAAAAGTAAACTAAAAATAAAATAAAAATTTAAAAATACAAAGTAGCTTGCTGTATCAAATGTCTGAGGAAATGAGGTCACACAAGAGTGGTACGCACCTGCGTGCTTGCCTCCTTGACACAGCTCCTCACTCAAGAATCCAGGAATCTAAACATTGTAGCTTTGAATCTCTTGAGTTCACCATGCAGGGTCCTCCCACAGATCAGGGGAGTCCTCTACCCTCACCTGTGTGACTGAAGACCTCCCAGGACTGGAGAGCCTGCTTGCCTTCAGACCTTCATGGTGGCTATGGAAAGCATCTTTCCCACTACCCATCACCTTCGCTTTTTACATTTCTACCAATGGGAACACAGCTGCTGAAAGGATTACCAAAGCTCTGAAAATAATATTTATCTTGGCCACTTTTAATGATTATTCTTTATGAAAATTTTGAAAATAAAGCAAAAAGGACATACAACCGTTTTGCCATTTAGTGCTAACTACCATTAACATGTTTCCCTTTGTCTTCTTGATAAGAGACAGAGAGGAAAGAGCAAAAGGAAAGCAAGTGGGCTCTATTACCTTGCTGGATGAGTTATATTATTTTGGATCCTTCTTTGTTGATCATAAAATTATATGGTGTACATGTACCACTGACCAACTGCATTAGGTCTAGATTTCATCTTAATTTTCTGTTTAAGTATTGCTAGAAAAACCTCCTTGCAGTAATTTCTTCTCTGTGCACCACGAAAACCACACTCCTTGTAAACCAAAGGAGAGCCTTGCATCTTGAAAGCCTTCGCCTCAGTACACTCCAGCCTCAGCAGAATGTAACGGGTCACATCAATCGTTCAGCAAGTCACAGGCAGAGGCCATTTTCTCTCAAGCAGTGAGCTGGAGCTCAATGATTGAGAAATTTGGGGACTCAAGGCTTCTCTCCATCTTTCTTTGGCTCTTGAGATATGCTCCATTACTCAAAGTCCCCATCTCTTTCTTTACCATACTGAAAATGGGAGGAAAATGTAGAAGTTTATACTCACTTTTCTTCTTGGATTCTTTCAAAAAAAGCAACATTTATTGGGTATCATTTTCAGCCCTGGCACTCTATTATTTCACAGGATACTTGGCAGAATACAGTATCTTTCTAGCCGGTGGTCTGAGCCTCATGGGAGACACAGAAATTAAGCAGAAAATTCCAAGCCAGTGTAATAAGGCGATAGAATGTCCCTTCAGCTTGAAGGATCGAGAAGAGAATTATACTAAAATAATCTTGAGTTTAGTACTGATGAGGAGTCAAGGGAAGAGTTGCATATTATTACAGGGTATTGGGATATGTGCTTTACTCTGTGGTCAGCACTGACAGTACAGGTGCCTCAGAGCTGATACCTTTGCCCATGGTAGGCATTATTAATCAATCCTTATTTCCCTTTGAATATGAATTTGAAAGCCTTCTTTCAAAAGACTGCTCCAAAATCTTGCAGTCACAGCATGAGAAATAATACTTTGAAATCAGTTAAATCTTGGTTAAAACAGCCTCACCCATTATGTGATGGATAACCTTGGGCAAGGAAACTACCTGTCTTTTTAAATCTAATCTTATTCTTCATAGAGCTCACATGACAATTAAGCAAAGTAAAGTAGGTACTGTTCTGCCTCAGACAGTAGTGGTGGGGGTATGATGTGATATAGCCACTTTGGAAGACAAATAATTTCTTTAAAAGTAGAACATAAGTTTGCCATATGTCCTAGCAATTGTATTCTGAAGTATCTACTGAACAAAAATATGAAAACATATATCTACACAAAAACTTGTATATGAATATTAATAGCAGTATTATTCGTAGTAGTCAGAAAGTGGCAACAGTCAAAATGTGCAGCAGCTAATGTGTGGATAAATAGGATGTAGTCTGTCTAGGCAATGAAAGTCATTCAAAAATAGAAAAAGAGCTGATACATACTACTACATAGACTAACCTCAAAATCATCATATTAAGTGAAAAAACTGGACATCACCACTCCATATTGTGGAATTTCCTTTATACATCAGTCGAGAAAAAAGGAAATTATACAAAGATAATAAATTCCTAGTGGTACAGGGCAGGGAATAGAAACAATAATTAATTGAAAATTGAGAGAGTCTTGTAAGGTGATGAAAATGTTATAAAATTTTATTATGATGCTGGTTACACAACTGTGCATATTGACTTAAAAACCATTGACTTGTACAGCTAAAACAAGTGAATTTTACATTCTATAAATACCTTCATGAAGCTGGTAAAAAGATGTATAAAGTTTTACCATGGAACACAGACACACAAGACACTGTTATTCCATCCCTTTCCATTCAGAAATTCTTCTCAGGCTCTTCTGTCACACAGCATGAAGTACTACCTCTACATAACTCTATTTGTAGTTATAGTTTGGTGCTGAATACTACCTGCTTCATGACATTGCTCGTTGTTTGATATTGTATAATGTAACTTTTCCATACATATTTTAATATTTCCCCAAAAGAAAGTGGACCCTCTTAGTATAAGGATAATCTCTTATTTATTTTCATATCTTCACCTTTGGCAGTTAGCCCTTAGCATGGCCCCTGGCACAAAGTCCAAATTCCAATATTTATTAATGAATTATTAACTACAATAGTAAAAAAAAAAAAAACAAACCACAAGAATTTCTTACTGACTGTGACTTTGGCTCAAAAAAGAGAACTAGTAACCAGAATGGCTACTTTCAAGTGAAATATGTTTTAGAAAAGAGAATGGCATAAAAGAAAGATGAATTTAGAGACACTACTGATTGAGGTTCAGTGTGGCTAATTAATTTACACTTTCATGATAGTTCTAGACACATCTACATTTTAGATTATTTTTATTTTAGCAAAGAAGCCCTTATTCAACCCAGGCTTTTGTGGCTAAGCATTTAGCAAAACAGACATTAAAGGAGTCAGAACAAAAATATTTAAAAGCTACTGTACAGTATTTTCTTTTTTAATGACAAATTGATATCTTCTAAAACAATCCAAAGAGTAGCATTTTATGTAAGAACAACCCTTAAGTCAATTAAATTAATTGATGTATGTATTAAGATCACCAGTGAGTTCACTGTCTTTCATGTAAACAGAAAAGAAGTAGTTGGAACAGCTTTGTAGAGACTGCTGTGGAGGTTTCTTTGAGCTCGTAAAGTGCTGCTAAACTTTTAATGGAGGCTTAAGGCAAACGCTGAAGATAATCCTTCCGAATTTTGCAGTTTTGTCCTATAATGAAAGGAAGAGAAGAGTGAATTAAACACCTGTTGCTTTACCTATCAGTACCCACTTCCCTTTATTTAGTGACAGGACTTTAATTTCCCCTTAGGAGCAAAGCCCTCCTCCTTATTTAGATACAATTGAGCCAACATTCATATGATCCGGGCTCACCTATTCAATGACCACCCTCCATCTTATGCAGGAATGGCATAGAATGTTAATCTAGCCAAGCCAAAATGGTAAAATTCTCATTCAGTTTTTGTGATCCATTTGGCCAGGCAGTCCAAGATCAAAGCATCAGCACAGACATCTGGCGGGGGATACCCTCTTCTTCCAAGATGGTGCCTTGCTGCTGTGCTCCCTGCCACTTTATGCCCTATTCTAAGGGTGTATATTAGTCAGTTTCCATTGCTGGGGCAAAATACCCAATATATACAATGTAAAGGAGAAAAGCTTTATTTTGGCTCCCGATTTCAGGGATTTCAACCATGGTTGATTGGCTCTAAGGCATAACATCATGCAGAAGGGCATAGTGGAAGAATGGCAAAAAGGAATAAAAGCACAGGAGAAGACCCAGGTGGACCTGATACAGGTCCCATCCTATGTGTGTCTATGACCCACCCAGACACACCTAAAACTGTGAGTCTCAAGTCAATCAAGTTGACATTTGAGATCACCACAGGATGTGAAAGGCCATACCTGTTAATACTTTGCGGATAAAGTTTCAACCTGAATTTGTGATGGGATCCTCCATTTAAATTATAGCAACAATGAACAAAACATAGCCAAGCTTCTGAATGATTGGAGAATATTTCATGAAAGAGATGCTCTGGGGGTTGAGGATATAGCTCAGTGCCATAGCGCCTGCCTGGCAAGCGCAAGGTCGTGAGTTCGATCACCAGTACCGCAAAAAAAAAAAAAAAAAAAAAAGAGATACTCTGGATGCCAGCACTTTGACTCAGGGGAATTTGCCCTCCATACTCTCTCTCAAAGTGTTTGTACATTCACAACAATTAGAATGAGACTTCAGAATCTAGTTTCACACTGGGAAGCAGATTAGAAGCCAGCAATTAGAAAAAGAAAGGAGTTTGCTAGGAGTTGATAATAAGAAGGGAAATCAGATGCCAGACATCCAACGAGGGAAAGGAGAGCAAGTTTTTAAAAAGATACCAAAAAACACAGCCACAGTAATTCAAAAGCTGAGTCATGCAGGGATGTCTATTCCAGGAATGCATATGCTTCCCTCTTGAAGCATATATATATATGTATATATATATATACATATATATATATATATATTCAACAAAGAATGTGCTAGACACTGACCTTAATTCATTAGGGAAAAGCCATATTGTGTTGAATGAACTTTTACTTAAGAGAGGAGAGGAAACATCTCAGAAGTGCAAATGCTCAGTAAATACACAAAAAAATGTTCAATATCTCTGGCCATTACAGTAATGTAAATTAAAACAATGCTAAGATTTTATCTTACTACATAAAGAATGGCTATCATGAAGAAATCAAACACTAACAAATGCTGGTGAGTCTATGGCGAAAAAGGAACACTTCTACCGTGCTGGTGGAAATGTAAACTAGTACAACCACTATGGAAATCAGTATGAAGATCCCTCAAGACTGAAAATAGAAATTCTATTCAACTCAGCTGTTCTCCTTCTGTATATCTTTTTGAAAGAGCTAAAGGTATAATATCTGTGGTGATACATGCACATTCATATTCATAGCAGCAGAACATATAATAGCTAAATCTTGGAAGTGGCCTATACATACATCAACAGACAAATAGATGAGAAAATGTGGTGTTACACACAAGGGAGTGCTGCGCTGCCATAAAGAAAGATAAACAAGTCATTTGTCAGAAAATGGATGCACCTTGAGACCATAATGTTAAGTGAAATAAATTAGACACAGAAACTTAAATATTGCAATTTCTCTTATGTGAGAATCACAAAGTATAAATAATTTAAAGAGGAAAATAAAGGATGGATAATAGGAAAGAAAGAGATAGATCTTTTGCAAAAGGGAAGGGTATCTAGAGCTGGAGCAGGGGAGGGGTTAGGAGAGGGGAAGTAAAAACAACTGAGATGTGTTTTGTACATGCACCAACTTCTTAAAATGAATGTAATTATGATAGACTACAAACAGGTAAGAATAAAAATATAAGGTAAAAATAAAAAAGAAGGCAGAATGGAAAGTGAATGATCATTTAAAATGTTCCTATAAGTAAAGCTAAAAAGAGAAGAAGTAGTCTGGATATTTGAAGGAATTTTTTTTTTTTTTTGGTTTTGGTTTTTCTCTGGTACCGGGAACCAAACTCACGACCTTGCGCTTGCCAGGCAGGCGCTTTTGCCGCTGAGCTAAATCCCCAGCCCCTATTTGAAGGAATTTTTAAAAGCTCTTGGAAAGTAATTTTTATGATATGGCTCATTCCCTCATGTTGCCTAATCACTGACTTCTCAAAAGATGCCCTACGCGACTAAATGCTACCATGGTGTGAAAGCAGAACAACCTACCCCAAAAGGCAGCAATGATTTTGAGGTAGTGTTGCAGCCCCTTTGAGGGCTCTTCACCCTGAAACCTAAAGCTTCTGGAATTGAATTTGAAAGAAAAATACCCACTTTGGCACCCCCTGCCCACTGAGGCACAGTTGCCAGAGCTAGATTGACTGCCAGATTTATTTCAGTCCGAAACTGAGAAAACCATCAAAGAAGAGATTTGTCGGCTCTGTCCATCTGAGAGAGAAGGGTATCAGGAGTAAGTGCTGAAGGATCAGCCCTGGGGAGCATGTTTCAGCTTTGAGCCTGAAAGTGTGTGTCAGGGCTCCTGTTTCACCATGTCTGGCTAATGAGTTTTTAGAGCAAGCTGCCTTGAAGGCTATTTTAAACATGATTCATTTCATTTGGGGTCCTGTCTCAGATTACTAGCCAAAATCTTAGGGTCATATAAGCCATAGAAACACCATGACGCAGAACAAAAATAAATCTTCATCATTGGATATCTCTGTCTGTCTGCCACTTTGCCTCTTCTATTTTTAAAGCAAGATATCACTAACATGAAACAAATACAAGATGGATAATATTACCCTGATTTTGGCCAATGAGAAAAAAAAGAGATACTACAATGTTTTGTTACTTCTCCTTATCTGTTCTCCAAACCCAACGAGCAAGTGAAAAAAATCCAGTTAATAGAAATCATATGCAAATCCATTACTGCCTAACTCCTAGAGTTCTTTTCGTTATGCTATGTGCATTATGATAAGTCCAAATAAAGACACAAGCCAAAAGCTGGGAGGGAGCACACAAGGGATAAGGCACAGTATCAGCCACATACTCAGTTTTACATGCAGAACGAGGAAAGCCTGTGAAGAACCACATGGTCCAAGGCCCTCCAAATATCCCCACCTGTAGGGCAAGGGCCCTCTGAATGCTTTCTCTATGTAACATTCTCTGGTCTCTCAAGGGTCCTCTCTGGTTTGGACTTAACTTTCCAACAACATCAGTGAGAACAAGGATTAACAATAACATTGACCCTGATACTCACCCGCTGTGTACTGAACATCACACTGGAGCCTGGACCCATCACTTCCTGCACAGCCTGTCTTTTAATTTTCAGGGTATGCATTTGGCTATGGGAGGATAGTAGGAGAGAAACAATTTGCAAAGTGAAAAGCACCATGGACAGACTAACCAAAGTGATCACTATTGTTGGTACTATTTATTTAATCCGGCTCCTGATGCTGAATGTCTCAATTTCACTTTCCTCTCAAGGCCCATCATGTTTTCCTCTAATCTACCTCTCAGATCCACCCTTCCCTCCAAGACCATGGCCACTGACTTAATTCAGAGACTTGTCATCTTGTACCACATCTCCTTCTTACTGATATCTCTGCCTTCTGCCTCCTTCCCCCTCCACTCATTCACCCACAGCAGCCAGATTTATTCTCGATATGAAAATCTGATCTCACTTCCCTCCATAAATCCATATGATAGATCACTATAATCTAAAAAACACTCCAAAACCTCTCCTGTGGTTGTTAGGTCCTAGGATCTTGCTCATACCTGACCCTACACACTCAATATTTGTGGTTCTCCAGTTCCCCAAACAATACAGACTCCTTCAAAACACAGTACACACCCAAACGCACCTTCAACCTGAATCACCCCCTGTCACCTTGTGGAGCAATTGTACATCCATCATCTGTGGCCAGTGAAGCTCAAATATCGCCCCTTGCGTAAATTATGCTCCTGTATTTCTTCTGCATCTGGCTCAATCACCATAGAGTTAATATTCTCCCTCTCTCCTCCCTCCATCTCCTCTTTCCTTCTTTGCAACAACCTGTGCATCCTTTGATTACAAAGTACTGATGACAGTTACAGTGCTGTTAATAATAATGACTAGTATTCTCTTACCCCTGTTTTGAGCCCAAAAAGCCTTATGTAAAATATCCCATTCTCACAACAAGCTCTTAATCATTTTACCAACATTGCCTTGTTTTTATAGATGGCTGCCCTAAGCTTGGATAAACAATTTAACTTTCCCAAGGTCACAGTTTGCAGAGGGGGAGGGGATAGATTCAACACTTCCTCTGAACCCTGAAATTACAGCCTTCCTCATAGTCACTGGTTTGCACACCTCCACCTCATTTTTCAGGTCTCTCTGTATGAAAGACATTATGTTTAGTGAAATTTAAAATTTAATTAATTAAAAGACGTCAAGCATTCAGTTCACCATCAGCTACACTGTCCACATGTCGGGAGCTCAATAAACATAGTGAGCCACCAAGATCTAAAACATTTGCATCACCACAGAAAGTTCTAGGGGGCAGTGCTGCAGCCCAGCAAAGCTATCTGTGGGGAGCCAGACCCTTGCTGTGCTGGTTTACCTTTTTGTACACATTATCTAAAATTTAACTGTGGTTTCTTTTGAGCAGACGAGATGACTATCTCTGGCATTAGATCCAACAGCCCCCATTACTGCCAGTCTCACTTTGGCATGTGTAGCTCTGACCGGGACTGCTCTCCGCAACGTTGACCCCAGTGCCAGGGAGAAGAGACGGCATGATTCCTCCATGCTGGAGAACACATCCTTAGACCCTCCACAAGAGCTGTTCACACAAATATCCTCACCGTTTGTTGTGGCAGGTTCATTTCCAATATGAAATTGCCCAGTTAGTCATCTATCTTTTTTCTTCATATTTGGATAGTACATGGAATCTTTTTCCTGATAAGCCTTCTACCAGTCTGAATCTGTCAAGAGTTCAGTTGGCTTTGACTCCCCAGTCCCAGCCTCCAGCCTCTTAAAATTGCAGGGCCAATTTTGTAATTATCAGCACCACCTCTCTTATTAATAAAACCATTGCCCTGCCTTCATCTAGTAGAATAAAAAATATCCTTAATAGCCAGCTCTATGTCGAGCTCTGATTCAAATGGCTTTATAAACCTTAGACAGAGTATTTACTGCTCTAAGCCTTTATTTTTCTTCCAGCTGTAAAAATGGCAGAAATAATGTTATTCACCTGAAAGGGTTATGGTGAGGCTAAAACAAGAAAATGTATATTAAGTGTTCAACATAGTGTATCATGTACAGAGTGTGCACTACTTAAGTGTTAATCATTCTTATACGTTTTTATTTTATTATTGGCTAGTTTCAAAATGTTATATAGCTCCATACCCTTTAATCTTTTCGAGGAGGTAACTTTTAGTGTTTCAGCTTTTCAGATGAGGAAAAAGCACAGGATAATTACAAAAATGATCCAAGGTCTTGGTGAGTGAGCCAGTGTTGCACTCTAGGTCTGATGAACCCCAGGACCCTACTTGCCCTCCTCCATAACGTATCAATTGCAATTTGCAAGAATAGCTTGAACCCCCAACCAGTCCACGTGGTGGCCAGGGCATCTGGAGTTAGTGGCGTGACTTGCAGAGAAAGTGCCAGGCTATCTGCAGTTTCTGGGAGGCATATCCTTCTGATAACTTCACAGAGGCCACCAGGGAGTGTTAAACTGCAGGCCTTCCTGAAACAGGCTGAAAACCATTAACAGAGAAGAACATTCCATTCTCTGCTACTGGGGACATTTAGATTAACACTTTGGAAAAGAACCAAGGAGGTAAATATCAGGAGGAGTCATTTTCTCCCAGCCACTCAGAGCAGGTAATGAAAAGAAAAATCACAGTCCTCTTTTCACTTTTAGATCCTTTATATGAATGTTACTCTAACCACACTGAAACAGCACAAAATTTACAACTGAACGAAAGTTTTCCCAGCCAAGACTCCTGGAATTCACAATGCTAGTGATGCTGAACATCTGCCATTACCTAAAAATCTGCACTTTCAAAGAAAACACCTGCAAATCCTGAGCTTCCTGCATCCTTCCCTGGGTCTCTGCCTCTGACCTGGGGCTCAAAAACTACAAGTTGGTTGCTCTGCACAAAATTTAGAAATTTCAGACTGGTTCTGCAGCTTAGGAGAAAAGCAGAATTACCTAGAAAAAATATTAACTGTAGCATCACACTTGGAGGAAGATAAAATTACACACACAATCACACATACACACACTCTTACCTGAAAGCATGACGATTCATTTCCATAAGAAACAAATTTGTTGTTGATGAGGATGGAGGCAGTTGCACATTTCATTACTAATAAGTGACGCCAGGGGCCTTATTACAAAATATTTCTAAACATACAAAATTCTGTAATAGGACCCCCAGGGTCCAGGCCCACGAACTGTGTACTCCGTTTGCTGTATATGCACAGCGGAGCGTTTCCACGGTAACCTAACCTAGTAGCGGGTGTGAGTGGTTCAAAACTGCTGGCGTGCAAAAACCCAGAAAGCCTGCCGACTTTATTTTTAGTCTTAGTCAGAACGGTTAGATTTCACGTTTCATCAGCATTTAGCTTTTGCTTCTGTTTCCCAACAAACACCACACACACCAGCATACGCCACCAGATGTCTACAGTTTTTCATGCAAATATTACATAGACACGCTCATCATTATTAACGCACATAATCACCCGGAGTTGGGAGGGATATCATTCACTGCCAGTTTGTGCTCAATCCCTTATGTTCAAGAGTCAAAAGGGAAACGAAGAGGGAATGAAACTGCCAGTGATCAGATACTTCAACAGAGAATAGAGCTCTCGGCCTGCCAAGAGGCTTCTAGTCTGAAACTCCTTCTGAGTTGACAGCACTCTTTCTCTTCAAGATCGTAGTCCACAAAGCCCACAGTTACGAGGACAGGCCACTGCTTACACCTCATTCAGCAGCTTCTAAAGATTCACACCCCACCCTGGTCCACCTTCCCATGGCTGATGGCTCATCGTCAGCCTTTAGGCCAGGAGTTGTATGGCACTCCTCTTGGTTTCTCCTTCTCTTTGTTCTCTGTCCTGGCAGTTGGTCCTTCAGCCTTGCCACCTCATGACCTTGTGTTTCTCTGCAAAAGAGGCCACAGACATGTAGCTGGCGGGGATTTTCAGGCTGCCAGGCAGGTTCTGCTTACACATTGTGTTTAAAAATAAAATAAAAGAATTAGCTGTTAACTGTTAAAAGTCAGGAGGTTTCCTCTGTAAGTCCAGATTTTCAACATGGAAGGAAGGAAGGCAGGAAGGAAGGGAGGCAGGAAGAAAGGGAGGAAATGGAAAGGGAAGAAGGAAGGAAGGAAGAAAAGAAAGGAAGGGAGAAAGGGAAGGAGAGAAGGAGGAAAGAAAAAAAGGGAGGAAGGGAAAGAAGGAAACAAGGGAAGGGAGAAGGAAGAAAAGGAGGAAGGGAAGAATGGAGGGAAAGAAGAGAGGAAGGAAAGAAGGAAGGAACAAAGGAAGGAAAACAGACAGACAGACAGACAATTTTTCTGGGCCACAGTGCCTGTTGCCTGCAATGGGAAGAGAGTACAAGTTCTGTCTTCCTTACACCGAAAAGTATGTTCCCTCACCACCCAGTTATCACTTCCTTTTGAAAATTCAGCCAAGCTTCTATCACGTATTTACCCATTTGAATCCTTTTAAGATCTCTGGTCTGTAATACCCTTCATTCCCATCTTGCGATAAAGAGGTGTCTTCATTGTGCCCCACCCCAGATTCTGACTTAAGCGGGGAAGGGGTCTTATACTTCTTAAGCTTTCCTTCCTCCCTCTTCCTAACCTCCCTCTTCTCTTCTTCCCTCCCTCTCACTGCCAATGTGCCTCCCACATATCCACCCACAGGAAATGAGCTGGAGGAAAGTCACATGGCTTATCATCGCGAGCATGTGGCAATTTTGGTTGAATGGCTGCTTTCCCCAAACAGTGTATGGGAGCATTCGCTTCTAATGCCATAGTTTTCTCATGTTTAAAATAAGCTTCACAGTGATAAAGTTCAAATTTGATAATGCATATTACAGACTTATCCCAAGCCTTGGCAAACAATCAAGAACACTTCCACAGGAAGCTGACCTGGTACAACAGGTAAGAACATGGGTCCTAGATTTGGAAAAAACTGAGTCCAGTTCTGGTTTGCTCCACTTACAGGCTGTCTGATCTCCAGCAGTGCAGTCTCTTTGAACCTCAGTGTTCTAATCTGAAAAGGGGTTTCATAGGAGCTGACTTCATAAGAATATCCTGAAAATTAACTAGAGAGCCTAAATACACACACACACACACACACACACACACACACACAAAACCAGTAACATGCAGTAAGAAAATTACTGACACTTTCAAATATATTCTTTTAGCAATCTTAAGACATATGATTGGGCAGTTGTGCAGAAAATTACAAATTGAAGCTATCACTTCAAAAATTGGTTTAGATAATACCAATATCTTCTACTGAATAAACAAATATCCCTCAAAATAATAAATATTTATTGACTCCCACCTGTTCTGTGTGTCAGGACTTGGGGTGGCTTGGCTGGCTGAGGAGAGCTGGGGGCCTATCTGGAAGTTTCAGTCAAGGTGGCAGCTCATAAAGCTTGTCAGGGTGGAGGAGCTATGATCAGAAGATTCACACACAAGCTGCACATTAGTGCTGGCTGCTGGGGAGCAGCTGCTGGGGAACAGCCTTCTCCAAGGTCTTCTTCAGAGGGCTGCCTAATCATCTGAATGATGGCGCCCAGAGCCAAAGTTCCAGGAAACAAAAAGAGAAGCCATGAAGCTTGTTATGGTGTAGCCTTGGGAGTCATTACCATCTCCTCTGTCCTCAGCTGTTTACCAGCCAGGCCCGCTTAGGTTGGGAAATCACCCAAGGCTGCAAATAGCAGGAAACAGGGATCACTGGGGCCATCTTGGAAGCTGGGTACCATATTGTGACTGCCACAGACCCATGCATAAGCAGTCTATAATATGAAGGATGATGTATGTTTAATATTTTATGATTTGTAAATATTTGAAATGATAAACATACATGCTTCAAACTGTTGGGAAAAGTTCAAGGGAGAGGTCAGAGAGTATCTGAAATTTGCAATGTTTTAAAAGGAGGAGAGAGGTTTAATAATTCATACTTATCATGAGCATCTGTGCAGGATTCTAGATATACTATCTGATCTTGAAGGTCTCATTCATTTATTTTATTTTTGTTAAATACCCATCAGATATCAGATACTGTTCTAGGTTCAGGTAATACAACAAAACATAGGTCAGGCACAATCTTTGCTTTTGTGACTCTTAACAGTCGGAGCAGGGCAAAAAATAAGCGTTTGATGAAGTCCAAATAATGAAGTAGGGATCTTATAAAAGTCACTTACTGAGTGCTTGCAATCATCTGGGCATGGTGGTGAGTGCTTCTGAAACACGGACTTCATTTAATTCTGCCACTTCCTCTAAGATAGGTGCTCTAAGTTTCTCTAATTTTATGTATGAGGAAGCTGAGGTGAAGTTGAGGTTAAGCAAACTGAATAAGTGACTCAAAGCTGTGCAGCTACCCAGCTTACCAGCAGGATAGGCTCCTGAGTACAACTGAGCAGTGGGAAATGAATGCCCACTCCCCAAATGCTGCACTGTACCAAGGAGCTGTGTTTCCCTGGAGGAAAGACGGTCTCTTCCTAGTTCACAAAAAGGTGGTGTGTATGCTATAATTGACCCTTGTAGTAAAATGTAAGCATTAACTGCCCTGTTATTCCCCAGACTTTTCTGTGATAAAAGTTGAGTTGATAATGAGAAGGAGCTAGGAGGTGACAAAGAGGAACCAAGACCACTGTGGTGGCAGAGGTGGATTCCATTTAAACTGTTTTTGGTGGTGAGGGGGGAAGGGAGTTGGCTAGGTAGTCTACTGACAAACTGTGGGAACAGAAACATACCTGCATGCTTCTAAAGAAGTTTTCTAGAGAGAATAAAAAGCATAGGTAAAAGGACAAGATTCCTTCCTCCTCTTCCATTCCTTCATCGGTTCAACAGCTGGTATAAAGGGGATGAGCAGTGTAGACACCCTGGTTGGAGAGGAGGTGGCAAATGGCTCGGGGGAAGAAGATATCTACACAGGGAGAGAGAAAGGAGTGAGTGTGTAGAGCCTGGATGGAAGAGGTATCACCATGCAAGGCTACTGTTACCAACTTTCTCTCTCTGGGTTCTAGTTCAGAACAGTTTGAGAAATGAAGTCCGTGAAAAGGACAGTGGGGAAAGACGCAGGTGTAGGTTATTAGAGTGAACAAAGAAAAAGCTCTCACTAGCCAAGAGGGGCTCCAAAGGAGGATGGTGAGGTGCTGTCCAAGATCAAAGATGTATACGCACTTTGTTGGGCTATTTCCTGAAAATGAAGCAATGTGGTTGCTATGTTTAGCTAGGCTCCTGATATCTGCTGTCTTCTAGCTTCCTGGGGCCCTTTCAGTGAGCCTCTTCCCTTGTGTTCTACTTTTCTGGGTGCTTATCTCCATTTTCTCATGTCCCTGTCCTACTTGCCTATTGTTTGTCTATCTCCTGGTCTCACTACAACCCTGTGCAAGCCCTACTAGGGAGAAATGATCTTGCCACTGGAGGTACTGGCCCCAGCAGGGAGACAGGCATTCCTAGTAAGACACCTTGCTGGGGGTAGCAGCATGCTCGCAGGACAGGGGAGCATCTATGAGTAGCCTGGTTGGCATTGAAGTGCCAGGGTGAAGCAAGAGGAGGAGACGTCATTGAGGATAGAGTGATCAGTGTGTGGGGCAGGAGGGACCCACTCGTGTAAGGAGAGCACCCTTTGATGTGAGCCATAGCCAGGGTGACAGGAAGCTGGATATAGATAGAGAGAGAGAGACAGAGACACACAGAGAGACAGAGAGAGAGCGAGCCATGGTTAGTAGAACTAAGTTCTTGCTCTGTTTTCATAGCTCACCAGTTACTGATGCTCTGTGTCCACAGAGATTTGAAAATAATCAGAACTTTTGTTTCATAACCAATCACTGGGTGCTTGGCATATCCAGCACTATCAGAAACAAATCAGTGTTTGCTTCTCTCTCCTCACAACACAGGTTTTGTATCTCTGAGAAAGCACTCCCTCCTTTCAGGTTCACTTGGCCTCTGCTTCCTTATTCTCCAGTGGGCTGGTGCCTCTGCAGTGGCCTCCTCTAGAGAGGGCGGTAAGGTAATTTATAGTGCTTTCTGCCAGAATCTGGCAAATCCTTTAGTGGATTCTTAAAAATTCATGAGAGAGAAAGACAGAGGGAGAGGGAGAGAAGAGGAGGAAAAGAAGAGAAGGGAAAGAAATACTAAAGAAAAGTAATGTTTTTTAAATGGAAATGATTGGTACTAAGGAGTCATATTTGAAATGCTATTTTTAATCTGCAGCATTTAGCACTAATAACTTGGTAGACCATGGACTGTATTACTTTGATGAAAGGCTTTGTTTTTTCAAAACAAAAAAGTAGTCTTTTTTAACAATAGCAAAAAAGTGTAAAACAAAGGATAGAATACTCAGCTGTGGAGATAATACTAAAAAATCAAGTTTTTAATACATTTAATAAATGTGCTTTCTAGTATCTTTTTTTTTTAAAAAAAAAAAAACCTGTACTTTGAAATTATTTTAGATTCAGAAAAAGTTGAAAAAACAGTACAAAGAATTCTCATGGCGCAGTGATCATGATCATGAAATTACTGCTTCTAACTAATCTCCAGGCCTTACTTGGACTTCACTGGTTTTTCCAATGCCTCTTGGTTTTAATGCTTCTTTTCTGTTCCAGGGTCCAGCCCTTAAATTGCATTTGAACACTTTTGTTTTTGTTGCTCCCTTGAAATTGTAATAATTCCTGAGGCTTTCTTGGTCTTTCATGACTTGGATGCCTTTGGAGAATATTTTATAAAATGCCTCTCAATTTGGGTTTACCTGATGTTTCCTCATACTTTTTGGGATGCTTTGCACTTTGGGCAAGAGTACCACAGGAATGATGCTCCTTCTTCAGTCAAGCACCTCAGGGTTAACATGTTGACGTCCCATCAGTGGAGACAGTTGCTCTGATCCTTTGTCTCATGCAGTGTCTGTTGAGCTTCTCCACTTCAAAGTTGCTGTTTTTCTCTATATAATAGTAAGTATCTTGAGGGAAGACAGTTTGAGATCACACAAACATTGTATTGTCATCATGCTTTTACCCTCTGTTCTGAGCATCTATTGATGGTTCTTTTCATCAACAATTCTTAATATAATGGTTTATATAGTGCCTGGGATCTTCTGGAAGCATAGGCAACCAGGTACAACTCATTAACTTCCTCTAAGAAAGTTATATATCGCCTAAAACAACCTATTCCGGGTCTCATAGAAATGGTCAAAACCAAATAATCTCTAGGTTTAATAATCTTCTTCAGCTTCTGCCAAGTCATTCTGAGGTCAGCAGAAAAACCATTATCCATCTTTGTATATCTTCTGCCTGTTTTTTTTCACCCTGGACCATAATGAATGATATAGGTGGAGTTTAATGAGTAGAAAACAGAGAGGTTTATGGCTAAAAACAGATATGCCTAAGGAATCTATAAAGCCTCTTCCTCAAAGTTCACAAATAAAAGACAGATCCATTGAAGAAAATATACACAGTGTCAATGCCCTTAGTGAACCAAAGGTCACAAGCACTGTATAAAAAGCAGCTACTATGTGTGAGATGGAGAAGTGCCTAACTAATTTTTCTGGGCTACAGGGGATGGTGCAACTTAGCTGGTGGCTGTCTGTACCTCTCCCCTGCTCCCCTTTGCTCCCCCTTGCACCACAATGAGCAGGATCAGTTTGCTTCAGTGTCCTCCTTGGCTACCTAGCATTTCCTCCCTGGCTGTCAAACAGCCATTCTCCACTGCAACATGAGTGCAGCCAGACAGGCAGTGTGGTATCCCTTCCCCAGCCTAACCCATGCTGTGGAGTTTGAAGACAGAGATCACTCTGGAGTGGCTATGATTAGGAAAGGAGGGGTCTGGGCCCCTTATTTGCATATCCAGCATTCACATCAAGCCTTCTAAAGCATTCCCTGGTTTCAGCACTCTCTCTCACTGAAACAGGCTTATAAGCTCCTACGTAAGTAACACTTCCCAGACATCCTTGGGTTTTGGCCTAAGAGAGCTCCCGCCTGTGTATTAGTTCCCCTATGTTGCAGCATAGACCTCATTAAAATACTTGCTTCGTTCCTTTGAAACTCTTTGTGATTTATTTTTTTGGTAGTATGGGCTCCAAAAGTCCTGGAAATCTACGTAGGATTTTTATCTTGAATAGTGTGGACAAAGTAAATAAACAGAGCTGTTAACACTAAAGGACTCCAAAAACCAATAGCCAACAAAAAACAGCAGCCAATGAAAATGAATGGCAGTAATTCAGCACACAATAGAGTTAACCTGTGTTGTCCAATGCACTCTAGCATCAGATGGTGATAGCTGGCAGTGGCAGTGACCAGCAGCTGGCAGTGTCAACTGTTGGCATCCAGTATTACCTGGTATCATCTGGTGACCTCAGGACTACTAACAGAGCTGCACGGTGAAGATTCATGATTTACATCTGCACTGAGCAAAAGCACCTTAAGCTGATTGCAACACTGGACATGATGGTACTAGACTGTAGTCTTAGCACTTGGGAGGCTAAGGCAGAAGGATGACAAATTCAAGGCCAGCGTGAGCTTTGTAGCAAGTACAAGGACAGGTTGGACTACATGGTAAGAACCTGTCTCAAAACAATGCAAAAATGTTGCAGAGCTTCAGCATACAAAATGGTAGGAGTTCAACAACCGTTCTTATACTGCATATTGTTTTCAGATCAGTCATTCTAATTACCAAATTCAAGTGTGTAAAACTGGTCAAGAAAAAAGAAAATTTTAAGCATTGACTGTTCCTTTCAATAAACCACATACATCAGCAATACACCTATTCCAGCTATCCTATGGTTTTTTAAAATTTATTTTTATTTATTTATTTTTATTTTTTACTTGTTACTGTCTTTGCTTGTTTGATCAATCTTACATTCTTATGTCTAATGTACTGAGCAACTTCGTTGAAGATAATGGCATGTAATATAGCAACCATTGTGAATTTCTATCATTTTGTCTTGAGGTAATGTACCATCTTTGATGTTTTTGAGTTGCTTTGATTTTGTCTTCATTGTTGTTTTGTCAGTTTTTTTTTAACTTTTAAAATTAAAAGGAAATGTTTAAAAGGTTGTTGTTAAACTGAGCACACACCTATAATCCCAGCTTTCATGAGACTGAAGCCAGAGAATTACAAAATCAAGAACATTCTGGCAGCTCAGTACTAGAGAGTTTGCCTAGTATTTGTGAAATCCTGGATTCAATCCCTAGTACCACAAAAAGAGGCAAAAAACCCAAAAAAGTAGTTGCTACTCAAGTTCAGCTGAATTTTCTTGCAAGTTTGTTTATTGTTTTTGTTTGTTTGATGCTGGTGACGGAAACCAGGGCTTAGCAAATATTAATATATACTCTATTACCAAGCTATACTCCCATTCCTCTAAGAGCTTTTAAAAACACCTTTACTGAAAAATTTTCCTAAGAAATTTTAAAAGTTTTGTGAATTGTGTTTTGTGTCTGGATGTCCCCCCAGAGCCTCATGCGGTCATGAGGGTGGGCTTTTTAGAGGCAGCTGAATCTAGATTGTGTGGTTGATTTGTAGTGCAATGCTGAAATTAAGACTGCTGAGATTAAGGCTGGGTGATTGCTGGATTAGTATACTGATTTGATTGGCACTGCCCTAATCTCAGCAGTCTGGGTAAGATACAAGGAGCAGAAAGAGGTTTGTTTTTCCCCTTTTGCTCTTGTTACTTTTGCTGTCTTCCACAGCTTTGAAATGTTGCCCTTCTGCCACGTGCCACCCTACCTTGGAGCCAACCAGTTATGGACTGAAACTTCTACAAACTGAGCTGAATAAATTTTCTCCCCTTTAAGTTTGGGGTTGAATATTTTGACTCAGCAATGAGAGAAAAGGAACTAAGACATGAATCTTCTGTTTTATTAACAGTACATGGCTGAATTCAAATTTAAATGGTTTCAGAAAATCCAGTTAGAACAAAATCTGAGCTGGTCATGCCAAAAATTCTCCATGAGGGCCCTGTTGATTTGCAAGGTGTGAGTTTATGATCGCTGACAAAATTTTCTTTGTATGATCCCAGAACCTCATCAGAAGTGATAAAAACCATCTAACATTTATCGAGGTTTCTCTGATCATTTGATGTACATTCTAGATACTGCTTATATTAAACCATTACATCTTAAGCATTGTTTTATGAAGTGGGTACAATTATTAACCTCATTTTAGAGATGAGAAAATTGAATCATGGAAACCTAAGTTATCTGTCCTTGGTAACACAGTTGTTAAGTGATGGAGCTGGGATTTAACAACAGGCATTGTGATCCAGAGAACCTGCTCTATGCCAACTAGCTTTGGGGGAAGTCTCATTCTATATGAGAATGCTTTGATCTCAAAGTGTGTTTAATCTTTTTTTCCTATCATATTGTCCATCCTGACTCCTGACTTTGCATCCCATGCACACCACAGTCAATTTTGGGTACTTGTATACAGCCTAATTATTCAAAGAAAGGTTCATTATATTAGATTCAACTCTTTAATGCTTTCTCAGCCCCAAAGTTTGACCAGAACTATCAAAAGGGAATTGGATTATCTCAGCCAACTTCTTATGACTATGTTTCACATCATGTAATGTTGGTTCTTTACCCGTGTGTGGGGTTTCTCATCTGTCCCCAAAGTTGAAAGACCTTGCTATCTTGGACGTTAGTTTTCCATTTTGTGGACTAAAAAATTAGGTAAGCCTGGGTAACCTCCTTCAATGCTGATCTCAGTCATTTGGCTACATGTTTTAGTTCTTTTAATCCATGAATTATTTGTCACTCCTTATCTTTGCATTCAGGAGATAGTTGAAAAATACCTTGATCCTGAAGTAATAAATTTCCCTCATGAATCAAGTTCATCCACTGTCACCCCAAGAATAGAATGCCCAGGATACAGCTTAGCAAGCTGGCATAGAGCAGGTTCTCTGGAACACAATGCCTGTTGTTAAATCCCAGCTCCATCACTTAACGACTGTGTTATCAGGGACAGACAACTTAGCTTTCCATGATTCAATTTTCTCATCTCTAAAATGAGGTTAATGATTGTACCCACTTCATAAAACAGTGCTTCAGATGAAATGGGTTAATATAAGCAGTATCTAGAATGTACATCAAATGATCAGAGAAACCTCGATAAATGTTAGATGGTTTTTATCACTTCTGAAAGAAGTAAAAATTCATTCGGGAAATGAAACAAGATGGGTAGACAGGAAAACAATGCACTGATTGAGCTGAGAGAGGAAGCTTTCATTTTATGTTGTATATTATTTTTTTCTGAGTTAAAGGAAGAACAGAAAGATCCAGCACACTCTTCCATCTCAAACCAAGCTGGCATCTCCTGTTTTTATCTTTCATGTCTGGAGCCTGAGTCTCCAAAGACAGTCATGAAGGGATTGTGTTTGACGGATCAATCAAAAGCAGCCCCCTTGCTTGTCTTCTGAGACTCTGAATTAAAACCTCCAGGCAGGATTCTGGGAGGATGGGACCAGCAAGGGGGCGGGCAGCTACTCAAGGCTGAGTGGGCTTTGATGGCAGAGAAGCAGCAGAGATAAAAGGGCTCCTCCCAGCAGAGCTGAAATTAAACAGGAAACATTTCATTAGGCCTAGTCCCAGGAAGGGTGCTTTGGGTGGTGAGAGGAAGTGGAGGGGACAGATCCCACAAATGAACTTAGGTGGCAGTGTGCAGGTAAAAGCTCACCTGAAAATCAGCTCCTCTGTGCAGACTCTGTTGGTTTTACTATCACTGCAGTGACCATGCAGCTGCTCTGCCGTGGGACATGGGGAAGTGAGCAAACTCCAGAATCTGGCATTTGGGGGTACCTGGCAACCTTAATCCACCTCCTTGGCTTTAGTATGTCCTTCCTTTATTTTTCTCTGTTTCATGTTCAGAGTTATTAAATGTTCCCATTGGTCCAGGCAGTCACCAATTTCAAGCACATCTTGTGTTACTTCTGCTTGGACCTCTTTCCCCCATTTCTGGATGTAAGATCCCCCACATCATTCAAAATCCAACTCAGATACCACTTCTAAATGCCATATATCATTTTAAATGCCCTCCAGCTTTGGTCAGCCATGCGCTTCTCTGAGCTCTGTACCAGCCTTTCCTTTCCCTTGGACTTTGATCTCTGTATCAGCCTTTCCTTTCCCTTGCACTTTAGCCTGGGCCAGGAGCTCATAGGTCAGGCATAGGTCAATAATTCATCCTTTTCCTCACCACATTTTATCTGTAGGTGGAAGGAGATGAAATTATTTCTTACATTTCACATCAAATTGAATCAGAGTATGTTAGGGTTTAAAATGACCTTAGGCCTCTATCTAAAATGACCTTAGGCTTTCTCTATCAGAGGTGGCAAATTTATAGCACCTGGAGTACTGTTTGCCACTCCAAGAATTCTTCTCTTCTACTGAATCTGGCCTTAGTATCCTCATCAACACAGGGTTCCAGATAGGCGCATTCAACATCCATAAACTTAGAGAAATCTAGGGGGACCCAAACATAAAGCCCATATGGAAGGGATAATTACAGAATGACCTACAGGGACAAAATATTTCATTAGGCCTTAGTTTCAGAGTACATGTCCCATAAAGATCTGTGGCAATGTACAATTGGTCACAAGAGCTTATGGATTAAATATGAGTGCCAGCAAACCTTGGGGTTTCTTGATGTGTTCAGGCAGTTGTTCTGGATCTATTGGGCAGAGAACCAGCTGAAGTCACAATGCTGAGGGTTCTCGGCCCGCTCTCCAGATTCTAGACCTATGCTAGTTCACACACTCAGAGCCCCAAATGGCCCTGAGATGTGACCACAGGTGCATTGGAAATAAGTAGGGCCATTTACCAGCAAGACTGTAAATAGGACAAAAGTAAATATCTTTTTTAGGAGGTGGCATTAATTGATATTGATTATGAATGCAGCAAATCCACAAAGACACAAAATAAAATAACATAAAGCAAAACAAAGCATGTTTGATTTGGGATAGATGCTAAGACCTATGTGCCACATCTTACCTAACTCTGTGTTACCTCAATTATGTAGGATGAAACCAAAATCTAAAGGAGGAAACTTATTCTAACCATGTCTGAGAACCAGACTCCTGTCTCTCAGATCTCCGGCTAATGACATTGTGGTCCACTGTATTGCTTCCTCAATCAGGATTTTAGGTGCCTGGGTGCATTTGAATAAGGATGGGTGTGGGTACAAAACTAAATTCCAATTTGAAAACAGAAATATTGTGAAGAAGCAGTATTTCCCAAGATTGTTCCATTTAATTACATGGAATATTAATATTTGTAATGAAAATTCAGGAATCTTTTATCTAATTGTTTTAATTGGTCTGAAAACAAGACATATGCTTTAAATATTGTAAGAGGCATTGTGACTTTTTCAAGAGGAAAATATAGTATTCAGAATTTTTCAAATGATTTAGCTAATAGGTCTGTTTTGGCAAGGATCACTTTCATAGGAATAGTAGGTGACAAAGGCAACTTTGAAAAATGCTGATGAAAATAAAAGAACAAGGGTTTTGTAATCTGTCTTTGATTTTTGTACTTGCTCTGAAACTTATTTACTGTGTGTAACTGCACTGGTATCTTGACTTCTCTGATCATCAGTGACATTTTCTATGAAACAAGTATAATAACGATGTCACAGAGTGGTTTAATGGGCTAATGTGCCCCAAGTGATTGATGGTTGTGGATCACTAATAAATACTAATTCTTGTGCCTGAATCCTTATGTATGGGTGGGCCAGAGAGCTGTGTTCCCCAAAACAGAGCTAGTCTCTTAAATTAAAACTATTTTCCCACTTTTAATTGCTATGTAAACACTTTGGCTTTTGACCCTCTTTTATTCAGCATTTATTCAAAATGAACTTTCTCTGCATGCTAGAGATGATATAATGTGTTCATCAGAACATCTCATTTTTCTTTTGAGAGTGCAACCAGGCTATTTCCCTCTGAGTCTTGCAATACCCACATTACTGAGATCTTAGCATCATAATGTAGGTGGAAAGAACGTGCATCCTCTTTGTGCTTTGGACCTGAAAAGATATGCTTAATCACCTATGTTATTTTTCGCTTGTGTGGCTGGTTGGTAACTACAACTTCTGAGACAGTGAAACTCTCAGACACAGTAAGCTCCAAGAAGGCCTGCATCATCTGGGTACCACTTGGAGGAAACTCTTTCAGGAAGGTGACAATTTACACACATCAGCATTAGATCTTGCATAAATGAGAAAATAATAACCCCAAATCTTACAGCATACTAAATCTTCAAGGTTGTACTGCATGGTTTTTTGTTCTGTCAACACAGACTAGCCTAAGTGCTCTCAATCTTGGCACTATTGATGTTTTGAATTGGATGCTTACTTGTGTTAAGGGCATCCTGTGCACTCTAAGATATATATATATATATATATATATATATATATATATATATAGAGAGAGAGAGAGAGAGAGAGAGAGAGAGCTCTACCCACTAGATGCTACAGTACTCCTCTCCGTTGTGACAGGTAACACTGGCTCCAGATGTTTCCCAGGGTGCTCTGCGGCAGACAGTACCATTCCCAGTGGGAATTACTGGTCGGTGCTGCTGACAGAGAGGCTATGTGCACACGAAGAGTCCTAAAGTCTTGAAGGCTTATGGAAATACTGTACAAATTGAACTATAGATTCCACAAAGTACTTCAGAAACTGACAAAGATGCAACTGCTTGGCAGTGTTCTAGCTTCTAACAGAGTCATCAGTACAAATGTAATCCATAGATCCTTGAGGATGATATGTCCACGGAGGGAAGAGAAGTAAGTCCGGTCAATCTAATAATTGTGATTTGACTTTCAAAGAAACTGAAAACCTCCTGCTAAAGATCGGGTTTCCTACATCAACATCAGGCCAATTTCTCTTCTCATACTGTTGCCTGAGGGGTCTTAGGAGGAGAAGCCAAAGGCCAAATTCTTTTTCTAATATACTCAGTATGTTAACTGTCATTATTGGATGGAAGCAACAAACACAACAAACCATCAGAAGGTTCCATAATTAAGTCATTTTGAAAGCATTTGAAAAATCAGCTTAAACTAGATTCTTCCCTGCAGGGAAGAACGGGGTTGTACGTTTGTGAATCCCAAAGAAAGGGAGAGAGTGAACCCTACTTCTCCAACTTATCCGATCCTTATCTCTATTCTCAAAGCAAAGTTAATGTTAGGTTATGTACACAGGGAAGCATGGTAATCAGGGCGGATGAGGATAAGCATTTCTCACATTAGCTTGGAATCACACTGCCTGAGATCCAGCCAGCTAGATGCATGCATATTTGAAGCTTCATTATCGTCTTGGTGCAGAGTGGTTATAGAAACACCACCCACCTCAGGTTGATGACCTACAGAGTACCATCGAAATCATTAGCGTTGAAGTGAGAGGGACCTTGGCTGAGGCTCTGAACTTGACTGCCCAGCTCTCTAAACTTCAGTTCCTTTAAAATGGAGACAATAGTATTTTCCTCAATAGAGCACCTGTGAACTGCTGGGCAGGGTGGTTGACATAAGAATTGCTGGATAAAGGCCTGCTATTCTCATTAACATCACCACTGTAGATACTACGTGGAAATCTCTGACAGAAAGAGTTTTCCTACCTAATTTGCCTAGTAATCAATCAAAAATCCAAAGGGACTGTCGAGTAAAATGTTAAATAAATCCTGAGGAGTAACGATGAAACATTCATAATATATGCTCTACACTAAAACATCTTTACAACTCTCCAAGGGATGTATCTTTTTAATGTAATATGTGAGGAAATGCTATGGGGTGTGGGGGTAATATTGACCTGCAGGCCCTTTGGCAGTGACTTTTAAATGTGGGCACTGGATGCCAGAGATCACGTTAGAGCTCAGCGCTACAGCACTAGAGGGGAAGAAGCTATGACTAAGCCTCAGGCAGCACTCCCAGGTTGGTATCGTTTGTTGTAATTTCATTACCCTAAAAGCTTCCTGGATGCACAAAGCTCACTCCCCACAGAGTTAGAAGGCTATGAAGTGCTTGAGAAATATGAGTGTCATCCATGAAAGTACAAGAGGCTCATTTTTCCTAAAGATTTTGTCCCCAAATGGTAGACTGGACAAATGGCAATTCATCATATCCCACCTCGAGAGCCTTCTCCTTGCATTGCTACAATTAAACTCCAAAACAATGCAGGCTTACTGATGTCTCCTATGCCAGGTGCTACATAGGAATCTCAAAGAGTAATTACCGTGATTGGCTCTTCAAACTTTCATTACAGTTTTGTTGTTAGTCTTTATGTTCTGACCAATCAGCACACCAAGTGGCAATATAACGCAACCCTTCTATGTTGCAAAAGACAGAAATTTAGTTCAAATTGACCCAAGCAAGAAAGGACATATACTGAGGACTCCATGCCTAGAACCTGCTTAAGGTATAGCTGGATCCAGAGCCTCAAATGTGGATATTGAGACTGTTGTTTCATTCTCTTTTCTGTATTTTTCTCCTTCCTTCTTTATTTTCCTGTTGATTCCTCCTCTCATTGACAAGAAGGTTGCCAGCAGCTCTGGGCTTGTATTTATAGCCCCCTACCACTGGAACTATTCTGGAGACAGTAAACCCTTCTTTCTGTCTGCTTCAGAAGTAGAACATGTATTGATCCGATTATACAAACTTGAGCCATGAGTTCATCCTTAAACCAATCACTGAAGTTCCGGGTATAGAACATGCAGACTGGTTGCCTTGGGTCAATGTCCTATGCTGATATGATTTTCCTAAGGAGAAAAACAAAAGTAAGAGAAATATATACCACACAGGCAAAAATCAAAAACATTTGAGAACTGCTTCAAACCTTCCTATCCACTGCTATCTTTAATACTGGAAAATTTGCCTATATTTTATAGATGAAAGGACTGAAGCTTAGGACAGTGACATATCCAAACTTACCAAATATTAAGTGCCTGGATTAAATTCAGACTGTCAGCCTCTGAATGCACTCCTAAATACAAAAGATTTCTGAAAAGAAAACTTTTATATACATCCTTTTATTTCACTTAATTTTAAAAAATTTCTTGAAGGTTCAAATTTAGGGAGAAAATGGTTGATGGGAAAAGCAGAGGGGAAAATTCCACTGATGTTATTTATTCATTCCAAATCCACTGGACCTTGGGTCTGAATCCAGCTAAGTGCTTCTCAGTCCATGATGACCTCTGAATGGAGCTCTTTCGCAGTGC